GTTCTAATGGCAGGAAATGCAAAACGAGGCGGCGCACGAACGTGCGTGCGGCGATAAAAAAGAATATCGGTCAGTGACTTTCGCCCGAGCCCGAGCTGCCGCTGCCAGACGGCTTGGCTCACGAATGATATCGTTCCCCGATCTATCCGTGCACAGTCTGATTATTATTTGAGCCGATCCCTCGGCAACACCCGCGACCGGCATTATCTTTTTCCGTTCGGACTCGAAGAACCGCGCAATTAGCCGCCGGACGGGGCAAAAGGATTGTTCGCCGATCCGCCTCTAGCGTGTGCGACGGGCGATCCATCTCGGCGAAGCTTCTCAAAGGCTTCTTCAGCCGAGGGGAAAAAGAAGTTGCACGAAAAGTAGGAAGCAATCTCTCGCGCTGCTGGGAGGTTTCTAAAGGCCACGACGACACAGACGCGGCCTGAAAGGAGGATGCGGCGAGCGTTGCGGCACGTCGCAGTGTTTCACATGCAGATGTTTGCTGGACAATGCTCGAGGTTTAATTTCATGAATATATTGAATATATTCTATAACGTAATAGTGCGGGGAAGAAGAAATAAGTGATGTTAGTCTCGCGAAGAAACGGGATACGTATTCGAAGTTACATGTTTGGTATTTTGTGACGGCATCGTTGCACAAAATATTGTATCATACCTATGCAATTATGTGAAATTGCATCGTAGCTATAAATCAACTTGAAGAATCCGATGTTCTACCAATAGAGATTTACTGTCAATGTTAATTGTTAGCTTGGACGTTGTTATAAACAGCTTCATCGAGTTTGCATCGAGTAGCGAAGAATGTTTAAAGGATTATAGCAGTTAAAATGAAAACGTAATGTATAATTTATTTCTCGTTGCATATCAAATATATTTAACACTATTTCTACCGAAGGTGTCTAAAGACACCTTTTAAAATTATTTTCCCAGTTTAATCGTTCTTGCTCAATTGAATGTTGGACATTTCCTATAATGAATTTTATAATCATTGGAAAAGTCGAAGAATCAATATAGAACGTATGATTAAACTTCGAAAGTAATTTTAAGTTAAAAATCCAGATCAAATCAGTCTGACAACTTCGGTAGAAATAGTGTTGATCAATATTCCTTAAATAAATGTCGATCAATATCGACTATCAATTTAAATAATAATGTACGTTCATATACACCTCCACACATGCTCCCAATCTTCTAGTCCGCCTTCAGTTTCACTAAAGACGAAACAAACACGCTCGCCCGGCGAACATCTGCATGTGAAAGACTGCGCGTCGCGCTCGCTCGCGAAACGCCTAATTTATATAACGCGACTCGGCCAGGTCGATCCCTTTTCTCCTTCCGCGCGGCGCTAGTGAAAGTGAGCGCGAACGGAGCGGCGCGCGGCACCGTCGAGGCGGATAACCGGCGGCGGGTACGCGATAAACCGATCGACGCGAACGAAAACCCGTTTCCCCGGCGGCCGACGCCGATTCGACGGAAACCCGTTCGCTTTTTTACCGTTTTACGAGCCGCGTGGACGTCGAGGGTGACATTTCGCGAAAACGTCCGCTCCCGCCGGACCGTATCCGCTTTCGAAAGACTCGCGGCGAACAGGTTCGCGATAGGAGAACTTTCTGCGGGAAAGAGAATAATGGTCGCCGATACGCGATAACGGCGAGTTTTCGATGATACGCGCGCGTAGAATCGATGGTCCGACAGTTCCTGGAGGAGACGGAGTCTCCCTCGGTGTCGTAAAATACTTCACTCGTTCGAGCCGAGGATTTTTATGCTCGTCGACTACCGGCGACACGTTCCGCCGACCGAAAGTATCCTACTTAAGGTGTAATTATCCGCCGGAATGAAGGGACACTCGCTGGAGGCTCGATCGGACGGTCTCAAGGCGAAAGGTGAAGGCACTCGCTTCTTTTCTGGACGAACGGGAACGAAACGGCCGCGGGAAAACCACCCGCGATAAGTAGCGACTTTCCACACTGTTCTCGATTGTAATTGGCCGGGGATAGACGATCGGGGGGCTGGCTCCTCTTACGGTTAATTGCAAAAACGCGCGGCGTAAAAGCCTCCTAAAAGAGAACGTCGTATTTCACGTGGAAAGTTTAACGTCCACCCGACGGTGGCGCTTTAAAGCGTCCACTTTATTGCTTTCCCGCGGCTCGCCAGTGTTCTCCGGCATTTTTCTTTGGGACTTCAAACGGATGTCAATGACTGCAGCCTCTATCCTACCCGGTCTCGCTTCTTTCTTCCCGTGCATCGGGACACAAGGCTGTTTTTGCATTGCTAAGCGAGAGAGCCGCCTCGCAGAGATTAAAGCGCGATTAAAGCACGAGAGAGAGAGAGAGAGAGAGGGAGAGAGAGAATCGGGAGGGGAGGGCATGGGATCCTTGAATATTTTCCCGGTTAATTACCGACGACGACGGAGCGCTTTTCATTCGGCGGCTGGACGAAGAGTTAAGTAACGACCACTTTCACTCATTTCCACGAACGACCCTTCTCCCTCTTTCTCCCCCTCTTTCTCCGTTGCTCTACGATATAAATATTTCTCCAGCTACGTTCTCTCTTTCCCTTTTTCTATAA